TGTTGGTCTCTTGATCAGTTGCACCACACACAATAATCAAGGGGGTTGCAGTCTGGGAAGTTAGGTGGCCAGATGCAAGGGGAATGTTGTCGCAGAAATTGCTCAACAGTCATGCCTGAGTTCTCCTGCTTGTGTGACATGGTGCAGAGTCCTGTTGACAGACATAGGGTCTTCCAGCAGCCACCCTCTTGACCCAGGGCTGCACTACCTCTTCAAGACATAGTGTAGGCATCCATGTTGAGTTTGAGGCCTACACCAACAAATTCAGAGGTCTTTTCTTATCAAAGCTGCCATACCTTCCCTTTGTAATCACCATTAGACTCATCTAGATCTTTCCGAATCTTCTGCACTGTCCTTAGATTAACACCCAAACACTCTAAAATGTTCATATTGGACTTTCCGCGCAGATGCCAAGCAGTAAAGCGTGCTGTTTTCAAATTTATGGTAAAAGAATTGTGTCATGGTGCTCTTTCTCTCAAAGATGGTGCCCAACTGAACTTACAATACTTGACAAAATCAAATACATACAATGCTCATGCATGAAATTAAAAATATAAAATGGCGATAATTTACCCATCGCAGTACACACACACATTATATATATATATATATTTTATATATATATATATATACACACACACAGAGTAGGACTTTATTATCCATGGTACAATCCCATCTAATAATGTATCATTAGGATAATCTCGTCCAGGAAATCAATACCCTCAGCTCATTGGATAACTGACGAGTCACAACTTATCTCACCAGGAACTATAGTCGATTTACACAGTAAAATTGAAATCAATTAGCCAAAACCATGGCTCAATGTCATTAAAGAAAATAATTTTGATTGAATGCAAGTGTCTTCTTAAACTATCTTTGAAGTTTGACATTTAGTAATATTAAAGAAATGAAAAGGTCATTTTAATATCGTACCACCCAAAATATGTTACTGCCAAAAGAAGCAATAAAAACAAACTCCATTTTGACTGAAATTTTAAAATTATTTATACAGATCCTGAACAGGTCGAGACATGTTGAAAATTTAATTCAAGAAAGGTGGTGTAATTCCTCTTAAGCACCCAGCTTTTAAATCAATTTCAAAGGAGACTGTTGATAAATTTAAAAGATTAAACAATAAGAAAAAATTGCCATTTCAAAACAAAGTAAAACATTCTAAACATTCCTTATTGGACATGTCATTAACCAAATGTTTTGCAATTTTATAATTCTACCATTTAATTGTGCATTGAATATTGTTGCCTCATCTGGTATGGTGCTTCTGCCACATTTCTTGAGATTCCTAACAAAATCCAAAGAATCTGCAATGTTATCAATTCTGACCTGGCATCTCAACTTCAATCACTTTTCCCATGGCCATAAAATAACTTCCTGTGCCTTTTCTACAAATATTTTCATGACAATTGTTATGGTGAGCTTTCCTCTTTGGTACCTCAGCTTCATAAATTTAGGCTAAGTACTAGATTGGCAGCTAGGTCTCATCATTTTACAGTTGAAATGGATAGATGTAACCATAAGGTCTATGATAAAGTTTCTTCTATCTTATTTCTTGCTTCTGGAACTCTCTTCTGGCTTCTTGCTTCCCAGTCAAGTTTGATCATCAAAAATTTAAATGCAGTGTCAATCATTATGTTCTGTCTTAATTCTTGTTCTTTTATTGTCCTTTCTCCTAAATAGTATATTTTTCTCATTCTCTAATACTCAGTGATCCCTTGCATCTTAGTGGCTTTATTGCCTTTCTTGGGGTGAAGCAATTAAAAAAATATTTTAAAAAATAAAATCAAGATAGCAGGCCAACTGGTTTAAGTGAATAGAGAAAATATTTTTGCTTACAAAGAGATGGTTTTCATCTGGAAATAAAGATATGTAATGATCTTCAAATGAAATGACAACAGTGCAACACTTAGGATCTTGAAATCTTGAGTTGTTTGAAAGAGCTAACATAAACAAAATTATCCATGAAATTTTAGCCAATCACTGAATCTGAAATTTATGTTTTTGGTATTTTCACTTTATTGTTTCATCTTTTACATTTATTAGTGATACTATTTGATGATGGTTAAATAGTAGGACTAATATCTGTAAAAATCATTATCATCTCTAAAAAATTATTAATGCAATGTTCACTCGCAGGAAAAAGGAACTATTATTACAATCCAAATTATATTTAGGTTTTAAATAACTTGCAAAAGGTTGATAAGCTGTAAAAGCTAATTAATTGTTAATGATTGTTTGAAAACCAGGCTACTTAAGATTTACAAAAGATTTTTTTCTTTCTTGAAAGTAATTTTCAGCATGACTTCACTTCTTTCTGCTTGGCTAGACTTAAGTCTTGTACCACCCAAAAAGTTTTTAATTATTTATAATATTCAGTTAATGGGATGGGGCCAGATTTTATTATTATCTTCATTTTTGTAAAAAAATAAATAAACTAGATGGATTATAGTCCACAAAATTATTAAAATATTAATTAAATATTAATTAAAAATTAATTCCCAAAATTAGTGTCAATTTCTTGCTGGCCACAAAATACCTGAAGTTTACTTTTAATTTCATGTTTTTATATAATTATGTTTTTATGAAAATTTATCTTTGAGGATTTTTCTTTTAATGTTTACTTTGTATAGCTTTTTTGCTTTTTTTTTTTTTTTAAAAAAACAGTTCAAATTTGCAATTTTTTTTTTTTAAATTTACCAACTTTTTACTACTTTGCTGATTATCATGAATTTTTTTTTTCCATTTTGTATATTTCTATATTTTTTTTTTTTTTTTTTTAAATTTGAATGTGACGGCTGTTTCTCTCAATTATACACACAATCAACTTACCATAAATCATTTTGAATACAAGCACATTTTATTTTTTTTGTTTTTTTTTTAATCATTTCATCCCAAGCAAGGCAATAAAGCCACTAGAATGTAAGGGATTACTGAGTGTTAGAGAATATGAGAAAAACTTCTATTAAGGAGAGAGGACAATAAAAGAACAAGAATTAAGAAGACAGAAATAACAACTGACATTGCATTTAAATTTTTGAAGATCAAATTTGACTGAGAATCAAGAAACCAGAAGAGAGTTCCACAAGTGAGAAGTGCAAGAAAAGAAACTGTGAGCATAGAACTTACAGTTACATCTAGCGGCCATTTCAACTGTAAAATGATGAGACTTTGCCGCTAATCTCGTACTGCACTTAAATTCATAAAGTTTAGGTGCCATAGTCGAAGGTTCATCAGAACAATTACCATGAAAGTATTTATAGAAAAGGCACTGGGAGGCTGCTACATTATGGCTGCATGAAAGTGACTGAAGACAAGATGCCAGGTCAGGACCAATAATATTGCAGATTCTTTGGATTTTATCAATATTCTCTAAATATATAGCAGGATCACCAGACCAGATGTTATATTATTATTTAAAAAAATACTTTTTTTTTATTATAAGTATAGATCAGTAAAAAAAAAAAATGAAAAGTTCACTGCCTGGCTTGTAATTTTGATCTGCAATTTTCAATGTATAATGCTAGATTTATATGATTAATACTGACACTGAATTGTGCATTGGCATGGAAGGATATGTAAAAGATATTCTTTTTTTCTTTTTTTTTTTTCCATAATTTGGCTATGAATTTATTGATGTCTCTATATGCATATATTTAATATTTTTAATCCAGCACGATTTGAACCTGCATCCTTCTGGACAATATGAGTATCCACTAAAAATAATATTTAGAGTGTTAAAAATCTATCAAATTTAATAAATAAAAATCCATTTCCTTAGAAAATTACTCTGTTTATATTTGGATACAAACTGACCAGATTAATTATATATATATATATATATATATATATATATATATATATATATATATATCAGTCCTCCTATAGGAGTGCTGGACAATTTTCTTCACAGATAAAGAAGAGATCTGTGATGGCAACAGTGATGAGAATACCATAGATAAGACTTGTAAGCAAGATGAAAGTTTTAAGGAAAATAGAAACAAAAAGAACACTTATACTGAGAATCAAAGAGACAACTGAAATTTCTCGAACATAGAAGACTTGAAAAATTTAAGACAAAAAGGACAGGAGAAAACAGTGAGTAACCTAACAATCACTATCAAAATAAAATCAATACATTGTGGGGTTAATTGCCAAAAAATATATCCACCCTTCTCATTAATTTTATTATTAATTCAATCTTAATTAGTGTTTCAAATTACAATCTTTACTATGTCATTAAAGATAATAATATAACAATACATTAGTGAATTTAGTATAGTGACTTTATTTCATTAAGACTTGGATAGGATATATATATATATATATATATATATATATATATATATATATGATTCTTGGGTAATCAACAGCATGGAGGCTTAAGATTAGGGTAACAGAAGAAAAAGATTTGAGAATTGCTGCTCTAAACAACAAATGCTTATTTGATAAACTCACTGGATTATGTTCTGCTTTATTGTCATATTTTGAAAAATTTATCACAATTCCCCTTAAGTCTAATAGAAAGGTGTTTGGGGATGTTTATTTTGTTTTGAAGAAATCTTCCAACCCTTTATCGAAACCACCTTGCTTATTAATTTTGCACTTTTTGAACCTTTAAATGATCCTTGCTTTTATTAGGACCACCCTCATTTATTGCATATTTTGAAAAATTCCAACCTCCCCCAATTAACAACCCTATTTATTGCATATTGAGAAAACTTCTGTCCTCAATTATTGAAACCATGTATTTATTGAATATTGGAAAAGATTTTGACCCCCCACACACACACACACCTTGTATTTGCCACCTTAGAATAATTATACAGCCATCAAGTTCAATTTTCTGATTAACCCTGAGATCTTTCATTTTTAATTTTTCTTTTTTGTTCTTGATTTTGGTTGCCTTTAACCTTGTTTCTCTGACCGCTTGTTGCCTGCTATGAATTTGTTGTCAATAATTGTTTGCTCCTGCACACTGACTTCAGGTTTACCTGCTGTGACCCTAAAACGACCGGACCAATTGCACGATGGTGACAAGCGTACGCCATGGGGCATGACACGGTACACCATTTCTTATTCAATTCACTCAAATCCCTTCTGGACATTGCAAAAACATTCCTTGAACTTTGTTATATTAATTGTTTTGATTCTTAATCATTTTTCTTATTTTATTTAAAAAAAATAATAAAAATAAAATAAAATAAACGTACCTCTATATTATTATTTTGACGTGTAATTCTTTCATCTTAATTTCAGTTGTTTTTCATTGCAACTGCTCTATTTAATAAACAACAGAAATCAAAAATAATGAATGCCTTGGTGTCAGAGTCTAGGATATGTCAACTGCAACCCTGCTAAAGGATAAAATCTCCCAAAAGTGGGTCATCTACCAAGAAAATGCTTTTAGACTCAAATATAAACAACCAAGATTTACATATCCCCAAACTAAAATTAGTTCCTGAACTAAGCATACAAAGTGTTATATACCGTATCTATGAAGACTAATGGGTATATCCCAATCCTCATAAATACGTTTGACACTATTGTCAGTGGGGGTAATATGCTGTCCAAGTAGTCCAACACTAGCAGTGGTTTACCTACTTCACGCCGCTGGCAAGTATTGTATTTTGTTGATCTTATAAAGATTATCATTTTATTTCCAACCTCCATTTTGGTTATTCCACATTCAGTAACCGTTCCTAGGTTACAACATTTTGGCAACAAGGATTTGACCAAACTCAAGTAAACATTCACCAGTACAACATTTGGTAAAGAAAAATTTCAACAGAACAGAACTCATATAAATGTTTATGAATATGATATTCTACAAACAAAGATATCGGTAAAACTCACTGACGAGTATTGTATTTTGTTGATGTTATAGAGATTACCATTTCATTTCCAATCTGTTTTGGTTATTCCTCATTCAGTAACCCTTCCTAGGTTACAACAAAAAGTAAAATATAAATAACTAATATTTATCTATTCCTGAACCAAGTAAATACCTGTGCACTCAAATATAATAACTTTTTTTTTTTTTTTTTTTTAAATAAAGCATAAAAATGATTTTTACATTAAGTAACCTAACAAGGTTTGACATACAAAAAAAAATCAACCAACTCATCCCAACCCAAAAAACAAGAGTAGCTGTTGGTAGGATTTGAACTCAAATCCTTTTTGCACCTTTTGCTAGATTTCTTTATTTACAATCTGAACTGTCTACTCACTGCCATAGAATGATAATCCAAGTAGTTATGATGAAAAGAAACTAAAGATTCAAGAAATAATAATAATAATGGCTGGAAATGTACCATCTAATAAAACATTCAAGTATTGCTATTGATATTAGCAGATTTAAACAAAACCCACCCACTCCTTAATGCAAGTATACTTTCCTCTGAAGGATAATTTTCTGATGAATCATAATTCTTAAGTTAATGATTGAATAAGTGATATGGCCATAAAATACACATAGAAATTCCCCTATTGCATCATTAAATATTTGAGCTTAACCACTCTAACAAAATATTTCAATAACAATTGTAAATATAAATGCAGATCATTATTTAAAGAAGTAAGAGGGTACAAATAAACTTTTTTGAAAATTGATGATTTTGCTATTTTTGTTTTCTGATAAATCATAAATGATTGACAATAAGCTCCTTACAAGTTATATGACTATAAAACACCTGTGGAAATTCCCCTATTGCCTCATTAAATATTTGAGCTTAACAACTTTAATAAAATATTTCAATAACAATCATAGGTATGAATACAGGTCATTTTTTTAAGACATAAAGGGTTACTGGGAGTGAAAGAGTATAAGACTTTAGAAGAAAGAACCAGAAATTAATTTATGAACAAGCGGTAAACCTCTACTCCTGTTCAAGAGATGAGGAAGGAGTGTGAGCCAGATGATAGGTAAACCTATCTACTCCTATTATTTAATGAATAAGAGGATGCAAATGAAAAGATTTGAAATTAACAAGTTTTTTCCATTTCATCAAAGCATATCTTAAAGACATGAGAGCATTATCACCTCCCCTATTTTCTTGTTCTCACTGAAACCAAGCAGCATCTCCAATATGTCTTTTCTGTTTTTCCTTGTGATCAAAACCAAATAGTTCATTGTTTATGAGGCATACATACTAACTAATTAAAGAATGAAGGAACAAGCAGAATTATAATATGCTATCATGGAAGAATAGAGAATAAGTTCTCACAGTTTCACTCACAAGGTTTTGGGTTAGCCTATGGTACTTCATGACACTACCATATGTTGGGAGAGTAATCTCAGTTTGATATTATCACGAAATTGTGTCTGTAACAAATCACCTCTGGTGAGGTATGGACTCCAGGTCTTGTGGTCAGAAGTCTCTCTAACTATTAAGCCACGAGAAGCAATAAAAAGCAAATAATATTAAAATGAAAGAAACACTTGTCAAAAATGAATCCTAGCCTATCATTTTTAAGATTATTTCATATATGGACTTATGTCTGCCTTTATGCCTATAGTTCATTGCAAATTTCTCTTAAATTTTTTCCTTCCTGTTTTTGCAGTGTTCAGAAAATAGTTCCTCTATATTTGCATGACATGTTGTAAATATTTGTAAAATTTCTATGCCTTTGTTGATTTGTGATTGGCCTTCCAGTTTTATTTTGTTTTGTTTCAGTGGTTTCTATTTCAATAACATCATAGAGTAAAAGGAAATATTTTTTTTTTAAAAAAAAAGAGGAATTCCTTAAACAAAATGTACATTATCATATCCTTGAAATTTATGTAAGATTAAATTTTGTCTGTGTGTCTCCATCTTACATCAGCAGAACAAAACACCCCACATTGTTAACTAATATAATGAATGCTTATTAGTGTTTTATATGTATTACTAAAATGATAATTTAAAAAAAAAAACGTTCATGAAAGTATGTTTCAAAAAATATCCAATAATTCATTTCACCCATTTTGGGCTTCATCAGAAATGGGTGAAATGCATTATTGGATATTTTTCAAAACATTATACTTTCATGAACATTTTTTTCCAATTATCATTTAATGTATAACTCTGTCGGGATCATTTACCCAAATTCTTAACATATATTGCAAACAATATTTACTACATTAATAGTAATATTTAATTTGTTTAGCAATTTTTAAAAACACATTTTAATAAATATATCTTCTGTATTATTTATTTCTAATTCAAATTTTAAACATTGTCTTATATAAGCAATATCTCTGAAGTTTTATTTTTTAATTATTGTGTTTTTATAGAAAGAGTTTATGTTTGCCTTATCAAAATTCAGACATAAGTTAGAAAACTTACAGCATTCATAATAAGCATTGTTGTCATGTGCTATTTCACATTGCTACAAATTAGTCAAATAGAGTAAAAAAATTATAGAATTATCTAAATGAGTCAAAATAATCCATTTAATTAGATTTTTTTAAAGTGTACCAAAGTGAAAAATATAAGTTTGCTTTTTATTATTATTGCTAATGTAAACATTAGAAAATGTTGTCCCATGTTTCTTTCATGGTCAGCCCTATGTAACTATGTCTAGAGTAGGAAATCCAAGTGGACTTAGCATAATGAGAAAAAGAAATTTATAAAATAGATGCCTTGCTGAAAATGTTATTTATACAGAAATTTTAGAGAGATAAAAAAAAAGTTCTATGACAATATTTCTGTTTCTAGGACAAGTATTTCGTTAGTATTAGAAATACAGACTGAATGAACAACTTATAAAGTTTAACAAAATAAAAAAAAAAAAAAAGATCAACCAATTGAAATCAAATCCTCATTTCTTTACTGTCAAACATTCACTATTTGTAAGCATATTACTGGCCAATCTGAAGTCACTGATGACATTCAACCAATCAGATTATGGCACAGATCTCATACGGTTTTGTTTCTGATTACCTTTGACTGTTTTCTACCAACAAAGATCCTTTTTTTCTGTAATTAGACACTTCTGAACATCTAAAGAAAATGACAGATTGTTTGTTTTTTTTTTTGTTTAGTTATATATTACAGTGTAACCCGGATATAAGAGAGTTGTCGGGACTGGAGAAGAAGTCTCTTATATCCGGGTTTCTCTTATATCCGGGTTTGGTCTGTTTTATATACATTAACACAGGCTCTAATTTGGGACCAGAGAAAATCTCTCTTATATCCGGGTTTCTCTTATATCGGGTTTGGTCTATTTTATATACATTAACACAGGCTCTAATTTGGGACCAGAGAAAATCTCTTATATCAGGTTTCTCTTATATCCAGGTTTCTGTATATGAAACTTTGATTAAATAATACAGTGTAACCCGGATATAAAGAGTTGTCTTCTTATATCCGGGTTACATCCGGGTTTGGTCTATATGAAACTTTGATTAAATCCGGGTTATGTATATGAAACTTTGATTAAATAATACCATTAACCCGGATATAAGAGAGTTGTCGGGACCGGAGAAGAAGTCTCTTATATCCGGGTTTGGTCTTATATCCGGGTTTGGTCTATTTATCCATATACATTAACACAGGCTCTAATTTGGGACCATATAAGAGAAAAAAGTCTCTTTCTTATATCCAGGTTTCTATTTTATATATCCGGGTCTCTTATATCCGGGTTTCTCTGTATATGAAAAACTTTGATTAAATAATACAGTGTAACCCGGATATAAGAGAGTTGTCGGGACCGGAGAAGAAGTCTCTTATATCCGGGTTTCTCTTATATCCGGGTTTGGTCTATTTTATATACATTAACACAGGCTCTAATTTGGGACCAGAGAAAATCTCTCTTATATCCAGGTTTCTCTTATATCCGGGTCTCTTATATCCGGGTTACACTGTATATGAAACTTTGATTAAATAATACAGTGTAACCCGGATATAAGAGAATTGTCGGGACCGGAGAAGAAGTCTCTTATATCCGGGTTTGGTCTATTTTATATACATTAACACAGGCTCTAATTTGGGACCAGAGAACATCTCTCTTATATCCGGGTTACACTGTATTATATTAATTTGATTCAAAGTCAAACACTGAAATTTAGGAGAGAAAAATCTGGAATTTCTCTTCAATTATTTATAAAAACCTGATATGTTTTTTCAAGGAAATAAGGGATTTTCATTGGTCTAGAATTAATCCAAGCCTAAATATTGGTTAGGGGTGTGTTTGTGT